GTAGAAAATTTCATCACGATCCGACTCTCCTTTCGAAAGTTATCGGATAAACGGACGGACGGACACACTGACCGATTTTAGTAGTGTACTCACTTTTTGAGTACACAAAAAATAGTTTATTATTCTCTTCTTCTTTGCAGTAAATGCTAAATTCTTTTTCATGGCAACGTCCAAGAATAAGCTCGTGAGGGTAGAATAATGAACCGTTCGCCTCAAAAACCCTTTAAGGGTTTAGCACATCATCATAAACGCTTTAAGGGTTTAGAAAATTTTCCTAAAGTACTAGGGCTTAGTATTCTACGTTTATATTTTACAGTGTGTGTAGACGTCTGGTTGCGATTGTAAGCACAATTGGAAAGAATATTTTATCGAGCTTATAAGATACATAGTGTTGACCTCATCACTTTTGGCTTCTTTCAAGTATTTCCCTATCACTTCGAACACATTTCAAGATAGAGAAGTACTCATGAATAATCTGTTCAAAAGCGCTCCAACCATGAGACACTGACAAATGAAAATCCTCGATTCTAATTTCATTTCAATAATTGTTTTTTTTCATCAAAAGGTTGCTTCGGATTACGTCACTACTCTACTGCTAAAACATTTTCCTCTTCTTTCTTTCTTTCAAAAGAAAATTATTTAAATTGGAGTTTAAAACTTTTCATTCACCATAATTGTTTTTCCAAAAAGGAAAAATGCAGATTACAGTTCTAAACAATTTGCTGAGTTCCTTATGCTAAATTAAAATGTTCAATTTAATCAGCATCACCCTGAAGCGTTTCTGTCCTTGTTTCCTTGGTATTTCATATTTGTCATGCAGTTTTTTTTCTCACTTTCATTCTCTTCAATAGTCATTTACATCAAAGCATTCATCTACAACACATCATTCTTGAGTGTTAGTAAAAAATAGAGTTGTCGATTTTTTATTTGATAAATTCTGTTCAAACAAACATGGTTCACTTCTATTTGTTGACCATGGAACTCCGGGTGTTATTCGTGTTGGCATTTGTGAGCATGGCTGCCGGTGAGATTTCTAGTGCATCAGATATTGTAGGAATGAATGTAAAACAATCATTGTTTTCATTACTCAAAAGTTGCAGAAATTTTCATGAAGAAGTATCGATCCAGACGTACTTTTTATAAACTCAGTATATTATTTTCGAATTCTGCTAAGCATCTCTCTATTGGAGAAAGAAAATTGAAAAGATCTCTAAGATACAACTGTCTCAATGGTATTTCGCACTATAACTCATGATTTAGAGATTCAATTTGTGAAGTTCTTGGTTTTTCAAGGATTTTCTTTTACTAATCCAAGTGAAAGCAGACCAAACGAACTTAAGAATCTATGCTATTTCTATTTCTATCGATCTAAATATAGAATTCATCTAAGAAATCAATCCTATGTTCTACAATTGGCTTCTGTTTTAAATTTTGTTGTTGAAAATAACAAAGATCGTTCATATAATTTACTATGTGTTAAAAGCTAAAGTAACTAGACTATCAATCATTCTAATAATATTATATTTAATTATTGTGACGTTTCGTTCTAACTAAGAACATGTTCAGACACAATTATTATAATAGAAAAGAGAAGTTCAAAGAGAAAAAAAAATTACAATAGTCATACAAAATAAAGAATTCCTTTCATTCTTTTAAACATTCCTATGCAAATGAATCATCTTTCTTCCCATTGCATTGGAATGTTTAAATGAACAAAAGAAATTCTTTATTTTGTATAACTATTGTACAATTTTTTTTCTCTTTGAACGTCTCTTTTCTATTATCATAATTGTGTCTGAACATGTTCTTAGTTAGAACGAAACGTCACACTAATTAATTATAATATTACTAGAATGATTGATATCCATTTAATAAAAAAACGAAACTAATTTCATTTAAATAATTATTTCAGAACTATTCATCGGAAACATTTCATGACTTTCATTATTTTAGAAAAATCAAAATCATCACATTAATTTCATATTATTCCCATGATATAAATTCTAGTTTTCTCGAAAAATGAAAGTTACGAAATTAGCTGTAGTTTTTTTATATCGTTTTCATCACATGACTTCGATTATTTCAGAAGAACCAAAATCATCACAGTATTTTCATAATTTTTGCATTTTTTTCATCTCATTAAGTTGTTTGTTGTGAAAAAATCGAAATTACTTCATTAATTTCATTGCTTTTACATCATTTTCATGTGAAGAATTTAAGTTTTCTCGAAAGAGGAAAAAATCTATATTTTTTTCATTTTTTTGGCGTCACTAGAATTTTTTTAAAATTAATACAAAGCAGCAAATTATTTTCATTATTTATATAGGGTTATTCTTTCGAAAGCGTACCATAATTACATTGACTTCATGCGAATCGAATGAAACTTTCAGAGTTTGTAGTACTTGTATCTGTAAGTATAGCTGTAGAATTAAAAAATTTTAAAAACCTTGCGAAGGGGTCCGAATAGAAAGAACAATTTTGGGTGCCCCAGCGAAAACCTGATTTCTAGAATTTCTCTATTTTAAATGATAGAAATGTGAAACTTTCGAAGTAGATACTAATCAATGAGGCAGTCATTTCATTAAGCAGAAACGTTTTTGTCCAACGTTTTCTTCGTTTCGAAAAGTTTCTTACAAAAATCAGCTATTTCGAGTTTTTGGAGTCTAAATTTCTCTGACAAGGAAGAAGATTTAATTGATGATTTTATATGCGTCAGAATTATCTTTTAACATACATTTCAGTTATAAGATTTGGAAAGGCTTAAAACCAAAGCTGAACGCTAACACGGGGAACTTTGGGGAAGGATTTTCAGTTTTTTATAAACTTTAGGATTGTCTGATGAAAAAACTAGGGATTGTAGTGAGCTGAGCATAATATATTCATAGTCTACTCAAACCGAACTAACAAAAAAGTGATATTTCAACATTGGCCCGATACTTTTACGATCGACGGATTTCCAATGGTATTTTCATAGAGATTTTCCAAAATTTTCAAACTCATTGGCCATTGAAGTAAGCACATTTTTGTTATAGCCTATGCCAAGGAAATTTCAAATATAAGGTTTTTTCCTGGCGATAATTCTTAGTTTTCTCATCAGACGATCCTAAAGTTTATAAAAAAACCGAAAATCTTCTCCCAAACTCCCCGTCTTACGCTCAGCTTTGATTTTAAGTCTTTCCAAATCTTATAACTGAAATGTATGTTAAAAGATAATTTTAACGCACATAAAATCATTAATTAAATCTTCTTCCTTGTCAGAGAAATTTAGACTCCAAAAACTCGAAATAGCTGATTTTTGTACGAAACTTTTCGAAGCGAAGAAAACGTTGGACAAAAAACGTTTCTGCTTAATGAAATGACTGCCTCATTGATTAGTATCTACTCCGAAAGTTTCACATTTCTATCATTTAAAATAGAGAAATTCTAGAAATCAGGTTTTCGCTGGGACACCCAAAATTGCTTCTCCTATTCGGACCCCTTCGCAAGGTTTTTAAAAGTTTTTAATTCTACAGCTATACTTACAGATACAAGTACTACAAACGCTGAAAGTTTCAGTCGATTCGCATGAAGTCAATGTAATTATGGTACGCTTTCGAAAGAATAACCCTATACCCAGACCTCTGCGTTTGTTACGCTTCACAAACGAAATGAAACTAATTCGATGTTTTTAATGAAAAGTGTTTTTTATTGCGTGAATTTCGTGTAAGATAAATCATTTAAAGGATGGAGTTAAAGTATTCATAGGTACTGTCCGTACACATGACTTGCTGAGAATGAATGTAATGTCTAAGGACAGAAAGAATGTCGTGCGCTGCATAATTCAGCTAAAATTTAAGATCTATTTTTTAAAATAATGGTTATTAGTCTATATGACTCTGGCGAAGAAGGACTTTTGAAGTTCATAGCACAGCATCCCGAAGGGCACTCAGCGGGTGCTTTGCAATTAGTTCAGGTGCCGCTTGCAGTTTACCCTGCAGGAATATCTGCCTCTCTGTGTGGCACGTGCTCATAGTTCCAATACCATAGATTAATAAATATTAATTGTTTTAAGGATAGGATTTTGATGCATTTTCTATCGTTTTAATTGCATGATTATAGTGAAAATTTAACGATTTTCATGGAATGATTTTCATGCCAATTTCATGCATGAATTTTAAACGCATGCAAGAAAATGTCCCTTTCATGATGAAAAATGTCCTTTTTTTACTTTCGACATAATTTTTCTCTAATAAAATTTTCATTAAAATGAAGAAATTGACATCATGTTTTGCCATGTTTTTATTTCATGGGTAGTCTAGTTACTTTAATTTTTACATTATTCAACTTTATACTATCAAAAGATGTATTTACTGTGTGTTCTATAGGACAATCGAATATCTCGTCTTCGGCAAAATGGGCGTTCAGTGCAACTACGGTAGGAGGCTCAGCAACCGGTGCATCGGGATCCACGTCGTCATTATTATATTTCAATAGTGGTATACGTATTTCGGATAGTGATACTCTCTATATTGTTGATAAATACAATAATCGAGTCGTTGTTGTCTCTCCGAATTCAACGACCGCTGTTGCAACAATCGGCAGTGGATATGGAATCGGCCCAACTCAAATGAATTTTCCATCGGATACTTTTGTCACAAGTGATGGTATCTATGTGCTTGATACTAAAAATTACCGTGTTCAAAAATGGCTGAAAAATGGGATCAATGCAACTATTGTGGCAGGGATCACTGGTACATCCGGTGGTACACCCGGTGGTACATCCAGTAACACAACGTTTTCTATAAGCTTTGGATTATTTGTTGATATTTACGGTAATATCTATGTAAGTGATCAAGTGAATCATCGAGTTTTACGTTTTTCTTCGAATTCTTCGACTGACACGAGTGCTGACGTGATAGCGGGAACAGGAACTGTCGGATATGGACCTAGCCAACTCTATAATCCCTCTGGTATATTTGTTGATAGTGACCTCACATTGTACATTGCTGATACGTATAATCAGCGCATTCAACGATGGAAATTTGCTGCTTGCTCGGGTATGACTGTAGCTGGTAGAGCTGGTCAGCCCGGTAACACTTTGTATATGCTACAAAATCCCTCTTCGGTGATTGTCGACAACAATGGATATATGTACATCTGTGATCAAAATAATCATAGAATTCTTCGTTGGGCACCTGAAACTTGTGCTGGTGAATGCATTGCTGGCTGCTCGATGACCCCAGGAACGCGGCCTGATCAATTGTATTATCCGTTCAGCATAGCATTTGATAGTAAAGGTTCACTTTATGTTAGTGATACACGGAATAATCGAGTGCAAAAATTTGCAATAATCAATTATAACTGTGAGTATGAAATAGCCTTTCGATGAACATTAAACTACATGTAAAATATTTTAGTACCAACAACAGCTGCAACTACAATAAAGAATGCTATATCAACTAATGCAATAGACACATCGCTTCTCAGCTCACAAGGTAAGGATATTAAGTGACTGGGAATTATTATGATTTTAAACTAATTTCGAATAATGACTACTTTTATATTGAGCAGACGCTTCGAGCTCAACGGGATCAAACTCCCAGAAAGTGCTTGATTTAACTATAGTTGAAGAGCTAGTAGGATTCACTTTATCAAGATTCGGCTTTATACGAGACTTATTTGTTTATTCAGGATTTATTTATTCAGATGATATTTCAGCACACCTGCACCTTATCCGACACCAATATTTTGTATGTATTGAGGAACCGTGTGGGATTTACCCCAAAACGGTTACGCACTTATTGAAAAGTTCCAATTAATCTGGAAACAATAACTTCTGATAGTTGTAGTAATGGCGATGAATATCATCGAAAAAGATTGATTTCATCAAAACCATCATTAGCAGAAAGTACCACAGTGTAGAAATATGTCTTTGTGGAAACTGCAATGCTAATGTCCATGATTAGGTTGATAACATCAACAAATAGGATCCCCGCCTCGAAATAATCACTGCTTGTCATTGAGCACTGAACTGTATGCCGTGTTGTTGGGTACTGATATTCTTCTTCCACCAGCATTAAGCTAGCTTTGTATGTACACCGGCAAATACCACCCAAACTTATTCTTCCAAGAATATACCCCAATTTCATTAACTTCATGTGAATAGGGCAAGGGGGAAATCACGTACTCGGAGTACGGGAGTACATGGGAGTACAAAGGAATGCAAGGGAGTACAACGAACGTAATAATTTATTCCGAATATTTTTTGAAAAAGCATTGAAATACTGCTTTTTTTCTTGTTTTAATTTTTAAACG